TTTATAAAGCAAGATTAGCATAAAAATTTTCGGCAAGTGGCGCAGCACGTGATGTCTTTAGATGATTCGCACCATATACCTTATCCCTGAAGTAAAAAATTCATTCATTTTTTTTATAGAAATCAAAATATGCAAAAAATTTTTTTGTATATACGAGAAATTTAATCACATACAGTATGTTTGAAATGCGAGAGTTTAAAAATACTTTATTTCTCCAACAAGATTATATTTTAATATTAGTTGTGAAATATATAGTGAAATTAATATTTGCTTTTTTAATAAATTATTTATAAGAAAATTGATACAAAAAACCTGTGTTTGTATACAAAGATTGTTTGTACTTTCAGCAGTTTCTCCAATAATTGCTCTTCTTTTCATGTTTGCTTTTGTCCTTCTCATTCCTGGGCTTTCCTTTCAATTGTCGTTTCATTCTTTAAAAAGACGCTGCTTGGATTGTATTTACAAACGCCATGTAATTAATCAGACAAATGTTCATGCCTTTATTTAAGTAACTAGAATGACTATTTTTGTTCTCAGATATATATACATATAAACACTTTGATTATCTTTATCTAAAGTCAACCCTCATCATTTGACAAATTTTGGTTTGGTCCCATTTTATTAATTAAAAAAGTTACGAATTTAAAAGTTGTAACTAAAAATTAATATCGTACTACCAATAGAGAATTTTAAAGGTAATCATTCATTTAAATGAAACAAAAAAAGACAAAAGAGAGCCTCACCAATTTATTCATTTTTTATCATGCAACAAACAAATTTAAATCAAAAACCCTTTACTCTTACATTCTTGTCAATAAACAATGCCACATATCAATCAACATTCCAACTTTATGTAGAGATCCCTTCTATTATGATAACAGCGCAACATTGAAATATTGACAAAATTGTCTATTAGTAAATGATGAAATTTTTCAACACAAAATAACATTGGAGAAGCCACCATATTTTAATGTTAATGAAATAATAGATAATAACAATATTAGTAATTTTGATAATTTGAGAAAGTTTCGTATACTTTATTTTAGACTATCCAACTATCAAGAAGCTTGATTATTTGTTAACATCATTTTTTTTTTTGAAAAATAGAGGGGGAAGGGAGTAATTTAATAACCACTAATGAAAAGCTTTCAATTACAGTCTGGGGGTATACCATAAATGGAAATCGATTCTAGAATGTTTTACAGTCACACCTCGAAATTTAATTTGCCTTTGACGATCTTTTCTGCAAAAAATTCGTGACATTTTTGTAAGCCCAAAGAAGGCATATATCATACAACAGTACCATATTTTTATGATGCCAATAGGCTCGCTAAATACATAGTTCAATAATCCACTTTAATCCACAAAGGTTTACATATTAATTTTTTTTTTTTTAATAAGAGACATACATTGGCTTGAATTTCAATTATTTATTCTTTTTTTTATTCTTTTTGTGTATAGAAATTATTCGAATTCCTACAATGCCAAATAAAGACAACCACCCAAGACTTTTTCATGTTCATTTAAAGACATATTTGATAAATATTCAGAGAGTCAATTACAACTGCATAAAACTGACTTGCAAACATGGAGATGCAGTTGAAAAGAGTAAATAAGTAAAACAAACCAAATAACTCATCATAGCGATTTTACTAGAGTCTTATTTCTAGCTAAGTATTTCCCTGAATTAACTTTATTAAATAATATTATAATAATAATAAATAAAAATATTGTGTATATAACTAAATGATAAAATTACATAAAAACTCTTGAAATAATTTTAAATATTATTAATTAATTTAAAAATCCTAAATCTTTGATATTTTTTTAATATTTTTTTTTTTTAATGCACCACATTCATTACCACAATTATGAAATTTCAGTGTTAAAGGTTTTAAATCCTTTCTAATTCTTCATTAGAATATTTAATGAAAAATCATTAAAAACCTCACAAGTACAAATTATTGATCCTAATTTTTTTTAGTGTTTGATTTAATACTGTTAATATTTTATCACCATCAAGTCCACAAAATTTAGCTTCACACAAATAAGAATCATCAAAAGCATTACCAAGTAAACTTTTTAACTTTGTACAATTATTGAGCACTTCCATTAATTCCTAAATTTTTACAAGATTGTACAATTGATTGAAATAGCTTCCTCACAAATTTGCTATTTGTAAAGTCATAATAATTTTCATAGCTAACATCCAGATCTTTAAGAGTTTTTCCATTGATATTAATAAATCAGACAAGTCTAATAGATCTAGTTGATATGTAATATTTATCCTCACTGATTCAATATTTGGTGAAATACTTCTTAAATTATTTAGTCCATAATCAATAAATTTTAAATGTTGGAATTAATGAATTATCAAAATTATTTCCTCCATTACTAGATTCATGAAAAGTTATTGATTGTGAATGTGTTAATATTGCTTCTTTTAATTCATCTTGTAAAATTTGTTCATGTTCTGTATAAATTATAGAATAGTGATTTATAATCACAGAAAATTCAGATAAACTGCTAATTATATGTTAACATATAAATTGCAGATAATAATTTAATATTAATTAAAGCTCCTAACGGGTCGGGTTCGGGTGGGTTAAGTGTCAACCCGAGCTCAACCCGAAATTTCGAGTCGGGTTCGGGCTTGGCCCGAATGTTTTAAAGGCAAACCCGACCCGAAATTTTCGGGTTGATTTCGGGTTAATAAGAAAATTTTGTGATTTACATAAATTCAAATAATAATAATTAATTAATTATAAAAAGCGAAACAGTTATAGTGGTTTAAAAGCTGTAATTTGTGTCATGCATGACGCAAAACACAATTCATGAGATTCATGAAAAGTTATTGATTGTGAATGTGTTAATATTGCTTCTTTTAATTCATCTTGTAAAATTTGTTCATGTTCTGTATAAATTATAGAATAGTGATTTATAATCACAGAAAATTCAGATAAACTGCTAATTATATGTTAACATATAAATTGCAGATAATAATTTAATATTAATTAAAGCTCCTAACGGGTCGGGTTCGGGTGGGTTAAGTGTCAACCCGAGCTCAACCCGAAATTTCGAGTCGGGTTCGGGCTTGGCCCGAATGTTTTAAAGGCAAACCCGACCCGAAATTTTCGGGTTGATTTCGGGTTAATAAGAAAATTTTGTGATTTACATAAATTCAAATAATAATAATTAATTAATTATAAAAAGCGAAACAGTTATAGTGGTTTAAAAGCTGTAATTTGTGTCATGCATGACGCAAAACACAATTCATGATGCGAGAGATGTAGAACTCAATTAGTGACGCAAGATGTAGCTCAAGGCAATTCGTGATGCAAGACGTAATTCAAGACAATTCGTGACACAATAGACACAAGGCTGGTGGATGACGACCGGAACTAATCATAGTTTAGGCCTAATTTTGTGGTGAAGTTGGCGAAACCTAAACTGCAGGTGAAAACCGAACGGTCGATTAAACTCTGCAGTTTAATTTCCGACCACAAAAGTGTTTTATTGAACAAAAAAAAAGAATTGATTTGTTTTATTATTACAAAACGAATTGGGTCAAAAAATGACATTATTTTTATGATAATCATAATCTTTTTTAATAAATATATAAATAAATAATAAAAATGCGAATATAAAAAAATACAACTATACAGATCACATGTCCGGCATATGATTGAACGGCACTTCGATAAATCCATTTTATTTATCATAAAACTTTGATCATAAGTTAGACAATTTAACCACAGTTTGGGAGTTTGCCCATAGTTTAAGTTTCATCACTAGTTTAGGAGCCTAAATTCCTAATTTCTATAGATAAACTATTTCAGATTTGTTAAAATAATTTCAGCCACCATCACTACACAAAACACAATCATGATGTGTGTATGAATTAATTCAAACTTTAAGCACATATAAAACTCTCTATTTAATGCATGAAACTTTTTAATTTATTAATTTTTAATGTAAAATAGCTAAAAAGGTTTTGTTAGCTAATAAATTGTCATGAATCATGTTTGCACCATGAATTGAGACTTGCATCACGAATTGCATCTTGTGTCAATTGTATAAAATTATGATAGGTGGTGCAATGCAAATTTTTAGGATTTTTAATTGCAATTTAATAATTTTGACCTCAAGTATAATTGGTACAGTCCAAAAAGTTTTCGGGTTTCGGGTCGGGTTTGAGTTTTTCAGTTCGGTCCCAACCAACAACCCGAACCCGAATTGGGCCCAACCCGAAAACTTTCAGGTTAGCCCAGCCTGTTTCGGAGCTTTATGCTGGACCATCACCAATCTCAAATGAAATGCTAAAACATCTGAATCCAGATACCATAGAAATTTTGCTTTCGCTATTCAACAGATGCATATCCACATCTCACATTCCATCAGCTTGGAAACATGCCAATGTTTATCCCATACCAAAACCCAAAGAATGGCATTATCAACTCACACACACTTGTCCTATTACATTATTAGAATGCACTCGTAAATGTTTCTATAAAATCATCACAAATAGGCTATCATCAACCATGTTAACCCATTCCATCTTAAAAGGAAATAATTTTGCTGGCTTACCAGGAAAATCATGTCAAGAACCAATCCACATTATTAATGCAATTTCTGAGAATGCATGGGAATCTAAAAAAGAATGCTGGATTCTCTCACAAGATATGAGTAAAGCTTTTGACCTAATCAATAGAAGTATGTTAGATAAAGCCATGGCACATTTCCATTTCCCTCAAAAACTAAGGAAAATATTTCTCACTGTATTTCAAGATAGAGCAAATCAAGTCATCACAGACTATGTGCTAACTGACCCTTATCAATTGAGTAATGGAGTTGATCAAGGTGAAGTTTTCTCTCCATTAATGTGGTGCATATATTATGATCCTTTACTATGTCATATTCAATCCAAATCAGAATTAGGATACACCATCAATACTACTTTACCATCTAATTTAACAGTTAGTTCATACACCACCAACGCTGAATCTGTCACAATTACAAATGTTGCATACATGGATGATACTACATGGATTGCATCATCAAAAGAAAAAATGTACAAAATTCTATCAATTGCTTCTTCTTTCTACCAATTAAATGCCATTAAAGTAAATCCTGACAAATCAACATTGATGGTCATTAATTCATCAGGAAATGACAATGAAACAAATGCAACATTCAATAACATATCAATTCATTCCACTCCCACAAATACTCCAGTTAGAATTCTGGGAGTATGGTTCAATACTTCTGGCTCACAAAAACACCATATTTCCTCTTTCAAAAATGCAATCAACACCTTCAAATCATTACTTTACCCCAAAAATTAATAGGAGAACAAATCAAATATATAATAAATCATGTCCTTGCATCTAAACTAGAATACAGGTATCAAACTACTTTCTTCTCTAAAAAAGAATGTAAACAACTACTTTCCCCTATCACAAAACTATTTAAAAACAAACTAGGTCTATCTCAAGCATTTCCAAACTCTGCTATTTATCATCCACAATTTTACAATCTGTTTGACTATTGGCAACTACAATGCCAATCAATGATTACTTCATTGTTCATATTAATGATCCATCACTCATAGGTAAAATAACATATATGCAACTAAAACAACTTCAATCTACATTATGGATCCCTTTCTGCCCATTATTGATGACACAAGCACTTCCTACAAAATTAAACAACAAAAATATTACAACCGCCTGTGTCACATTAATGATTTCTTCTCATATATTATGCCAACTTTCATCTTCTTTCATCTTCTCTTTTAACATCAAAGGTGGCAATGTCCCATTAATAAACATTATACAAAATCAATATTTCAAGATAATACCTTTACTCAAAAAATACTCTATTTTTCTTAGAACAATTACTTTCATGTGATTGTTCAACCTTTCTCCCAATAAACATGTTATTTCATAGACTACCACTTAGTAAATTTCATAGGCCTCCTAAATGGTACAATATACTTAAATCTCAATTCTGTCAACCACAAACAAATTTTTTAAACAATATATCAAATTTACCTCACACCAATCCATTCATTTTCCCTTCCTTATACACACCCCCAACTGACATGAGACTATGGTTGCTTGCCAAAACTCCTCTAGAAATCAATCAGCAGAGTTTCAGCAGGTCACACACTAATTGTTTGTTAGAGTTTTGGCAGCAGGGCTGGAAATAGGGTCTGAAAAAAAAATGGAAGTTTCTCCTGGATGCTAAAAATTTTCCAGAAGAAATTTTTTTTACTTTATTCTTCTGTTTTTACTTTGAAAAATTTTACTAAGAGCATCACTAAAATCATAACCAAATAAATC